AAAAAAAAAAAAAAAAGTTAAAAAAAATCACTGGTTCCAGCCACTATTGTCTTTCCCTTGGAAGTCAACTGCTTATCCCACAAATATGTTCTCTAAGTCATCATGTCCCTCCTCTGCCCAGAGGCTGTGCGTGGCTCCTGCCTCTGAGCAAAAGCCAAAGCTGTCACAGAGCCCACAAGGTTTCAGATCTGCTCTGCCTCTTCACCACTTCCCCCTTGCTTTCTTACTCCAGCTTTATCTTTGCCAGCAAACCCGGCAGGCTCCCTCTGACCTCAGGGTCCTTGCACTGGCCAGTGTAGTTCCTCCCGCACATCTGTGCTGCCCTCTCCCTCACCTTTTTTGTGCCCCTAAGGGGTCACCTTCTTCCTACTCAGGAGCTCCGCCCCCAGCAACCCTATATCTTTCACCCCCTTCTTTTCCTACGTAAGCATATAGGTAGTTAGTATTCTGGAACCACCTGACTTCTGTGCGAAGATTTCAGTGTTGCGAGGTCCCTCGCTTTACCCAAAGATGCCAAAAGTGCAGCTTTTTTAAAAATTGCAAAATCTTCCACTGCTTGAATGTCAGCCACAAATTCATATTGAAAATCCAAGGTGCTGACCATGTAAGACACACAGCAGGACTCTGCCTCCAAATTAAAAATTAAAAAGGACTGGGGATGTAGCTCAATGGGAAGTCCCTGGGTTCAATTCCTAGTACTTTTAAAAAGAAAAGAAAAACACTTAACCTTCTCTTAGAACCACCCTGTTTTTGTTTGTTTGGTTGGTTGGTTAGGTTTTTTGAGACAGGGTCTTCCCTTGAACTTGTGGTGATCCTCCAGCCTCTGCCTCGGAGCGCTGGGATTACAGCGTTACCATGCTCGACACCACCCTGTCATTTTACAGATGGGGAAACTGAGACCTGTAGAGGACAATGGACCGTTTCCCCAAGGTGACTCAGGTCCTCAAGTCTCCTAATTCATCTGTGCTCCAAAAGCCATGGTTTTTGTCCCCCTTCCTTCCATCACCGTCCCCAGCCTCCCAACGGTCCCCGGCCCCGATCGCCTCGTCCTACCCCCGGGGGAGGCACTGCATCCTCGTCCAACGGGACGTCAAACTTCTTCCTCGCGGGAGGCCCTGAAGGCTGCGGCGCCCCCTCCTCGCTCTTCTCAGGGTCCATCTGGGGCCTGAGAGGAAAGACGTGAAGGCAGGAGCTAGTGAGGGATCGGCATCTGCACCCTGTTCTCCCAGCAGGAACCCCCCACTCACAGCCATCCCCCCACCGATAAAATTCCAGCGCTCCTCGGCATTACGCCCCCCCCCACGCACCGGTACCTAAATCCCCGCCCACCTTGGGCTCGCTCCGCCTCTCGAGGGCCCCTAGTTCTATTCGCTCCGCCCCCACTATCCCCGCGGGCTGCTGGCCGGGCCTCCAGACCTTGCACCTTGACACCTTCCCGCGCCAGGTCACGGCCGTCTCTCAGACAGTACAGTGATTGGCCTGCGCGGCTGCCAATCACTATCGTGGTCTCCACGTCCTGCCCCTCTATCCGGTATCTCTGGGTCTCAGCCCTGCGATAACTCACTCAATCGACCCCAGAACTAGCTGGGGGAAAATGCGGGAGAATCGAGGCGTTCCACCGCCAGCTCGGGCAGTGCAGCCCCTAGCTCGCCGCACTTCCGGCCTCTCTGGCCCACAACCTCCCTCACTGCTCCCTACGGAGGTAGAGCATAGAGAGGCGCTGGCCCTGCGCTGCTCTCTATGATTATGGAGGACTGTGGAGGTTGGGGGAAGAAAGAGGCGTGAGTCTATGGGCTGGAGAGTCTCAGGTGCCAAACGATTTTGTTCCAGTGTCCTCTTGAGCGCCTCCGTGTTCCCCAGCTCCAGATAGGGCTCACTGGAGAAGAGGCGGCGGGAGATACAACTAACTCCCCACGCTCAGTACGTAGAGAATTGAGTTTGACTCCCAAGTCTTCCATTGACTTGGCCTCAGCTCCCCGCTCATTCATTTTTTTCTTACAGTCCCACAAGCCCCTCCCGGATGCCTGGGATTGTGTGGGGCGGTGGTAGTGACACTTGGGCTTCCAGTGGGAGAGACAGTGACAACGTGACGACCCCCGTGGGCAGCGATGGGCTGGGGACCCCACAGGGCGGTGGGATGGGTGGGCGAGAGCACCTGATCCAAGCCATCGTCAGGAAGGAATCTAGAAGGAAGGGACATCGCAGCTGGGCCCGGAGTGAGTTAGTATTAGTCATTTCCTGAGAGGGTTAGTATCACACTGTTCCAACTCGAGGCTCTCTGATTAGTGAGGAAATAGGACTTCTTTGAGAAAGGTGATTGGTCTTGTTTATTTGTGCTCTATGAACTGCTTGCTCACGTCCTTTGCCCACTTTTTAAATGGGTTAGATGTCTTTTTATTACATTTAATTTATAGGAGTACTTTTTGGATGCTAGTTCTAATTCTTAGTCAGCTCCATATATTGAAAACGTTTCCTCCTAATTTGACTTTTTTTTTCTTTTTGGACAGAGTCTCGCTATCTAGTTCAGGCTGTCCTTGAACTCACTGTGTAGTCCAGGCTAGCTTCAAACTCGTGGTGATCCTCCTGCCTCAGCCTCCCAAGCGTTGTCATTACAGGTGTGTGCTGCCATACTGGGCCCTAGTTGGTGCTCTGTATTTCAGTACTAGATATTGAACCCAGATCCTTTGCAATGACCTACATTCCCAGCGTTTCCACCCTACCTACCTTCTTTCTTTCCTTTCCTTTTGAAAAGGGATCTCCTTAAATTGCTAAATTGCCCAAACTGGACCTGAACTTTCCATCCCCTACCTCAGTTTCCCAGCGCACACCAGGACACATAGTTCATTTGGACGTTTTTAGTGTTTATTCACACTGCTTTGTCTGTTTCCTCCTGACCTTTGTTCTTGGTGTGTTCTTTTAAGAGATCTTTCAAATTCCAAGGACATAAGTACATATACATTTATTGCTTTTTAAAAACACTTTTCCCCAGGTGTAGTGGCTCACACCTGTGATCCCAGTACTTGGAAGGCTGAAGCAGGGGAATTCTGAATGTTAGCCCAGCCTGGACTACAAAGTGAGTTCAAGTCCAGCCCCAACTACATAGCAAGACCTTGTCTCAAAATACAAAAAAAAAAAAAAAATCCCATTTTATATGTATACCAGCCATACTGGGTTAAGGTCCACCCTATGAATTCATTTTAATTTAATCACTTCCATAAAGACCCTCTTTCTAAATAAGATCACATACTGAAGTACTGGGGGGAGTAGGACTTGAGCACATCTTTTGGGGGGCATGATTCAACTCATTCTCTATTTCTTTTTCTTCAATGCTGGTGATTGAATTCGGGGTTTCACATATAAGTGCTGTACCACTGAGCTGCACCCCAGCTCTCTTCTCTACTAATTTTTTGGGAGCCTGGGAGTAAATAGTCATTTTCTGAATCTTGTCGAAATTTCTCTCTCTCTCTCTCTCTCTCTCTCTCTCTCTCTCTCTCTCTCTCTCTCTCTGTCTCTCCCTCTCTTTCTCTGCCTGGTACTGGGGTTGGAATCCAGAGCTTCCTGCATGCTCAGCAAGTCCTGTCTGTACCACTGAGCTGCACCCCAGCCCTTCTTTTTGTTTCGTTTCGTTTTTGCTTTTGTTTTTTGAGACAGGGTCTCACTATGTAGTTGAGACTGACCTGGAACTCATTATGTAGCCCAGGCTGGTCTCGAACTCACAGCGATCCTCCTACCTCAGCCTCCTGAGTGCTGGGATTACAGGTGTACGCCACCACACCCAGCCACCCAGTCCTTTTTAAACTTTTAGTTTGAGGTGGAATTTCATTAAATTGCCCAAGTTGATCTCAAACTTGTGGATCCTCCTCCTTCCTTGCCCGCCAAGTAGCGGGGATAACAAAACCCTACTTTGTAGGGGAAATATATATATAGTTGCTCAGGCTGGCCAAGAAATGGCCAGCCTTAAACTTGCAACTCCCGCTGGTCCCGCGAGAGGGCGCCAGCTCCTCTCAGGAAAATTGGAAGTTTCCGGCGGAGGTGACTGGAAGCGCTACTGCCGGGACCGGACCCCCAAAAGACAGCTACAGGCCGTTTCCCTCTCCCACCCTTTTCCTCCGCCAAGAAACTGGGGCAAAGGCCCCACCGCGTCTGGCTAATGTTTCTCTGAGTCAGCGTGTATGCGTTAAAGGCAGTGGAAAAGTTGTCCTCGGTTCTAGGTTACTCTTGGAAATTTTTTCAAATTAAATTAAATTTTATTTTGTCCCATTCAGCCCTCCCCTCACCCATGTACAAAAGCTTTGTTTCCATTTTTCCTTCTATTTTTCACTTTTTTCCTTGTCCCTTTCTCCCTCCCAATCAAATTTTTTAGGCTTGAAGTCACTAGGTAGCCCAGGTTGGTCTCTAACTCCCAGCAATCCTCCTGCCTCAGCCTCCCGAGTGCTGGAACCACAGGCGAGCGCCACCACCCTCAGCTACTCCTGACTTTATTTCCACTCTGAATCCCAACACTGAACCTTCGATTCCCAGATCCCAGTCTCCGCGGTTCTCAGCACGGCGCCTTCGGGCCCCCCGCCGTCCACACTCGCACTCGTGCCCTGGGTCCCGACCCCCGAGTTCACAGTCCCCTCCAAAACTCGGCCTCGGCGCCGCTCCCCCTCCCAGACCTGCTCCTGTCCCGACGTCGGGTCCCCTGTGCGCTCCGGGATGGCGATCTCGGGGTCCCCCCGCGGAGTCCGAGAGCGGGGCTCTGGGATGG